GGCCCACCCCGCGTCCTGTAGACGGGCCTGTGGTGACAGGCAAGCTCCTGGGGCCCGGGAGGCCTGCCCCAGCCTGGCCACGGGTGGCCTCTCCCAGGTGGCTCTGCTCTCTGCCTGCAGCTGTGCTTGGCAGACGCTGCCCATCCCTGGCCTCTCTGATGTCCAGGCCTCCCCTGCAGCCTCAGCTCAGCCTGACACGCCACACGCCCCCGGCCGCCCGGCTGGCCTCCCACCTCTCATGCCGCCCCTCCATGCCCGCAGAACCAGCGTCACCAGGGGACCCCAGGGTCTGGCAGGCGAGAGCACTCGCTGGCTGCAGTGACCCGATGCACTGTCCCTGAACTCAGGGACATTAATCACATAAAAACGGCTGAGTGGCCTTGTGTGAGCGGCACCTGGGGCTGTCCCCCGATCCTGGGGTCCCTGGGGTCCCTGGCACTGGTGAGGTACTTGGCTTCTTTTTTATGGCTGTAGTCTCTCTGGCAAAGGTACCGTCCCTGCCACCTTGAGACCTGCTCCTTTTGTGGCAAAGCTGCAAGTTTTAAGAATCTCTCTGCTCTGCTTTCGCTCCCAGTTCCCACTATGAATCTGACCACAAGTGTCCAGCAGCCCGTCCCACGGCCTGGCGGCTGTGCTGCCTCGGATCCCTCGCCACATACGCGGGGTCCTCACTCAGAGCCTCGGGGCATGACTCGTAGCACGGCCCGCAGGGCCCCTCACCAGCAGCCCAGCCTGGCCTCCAGTCCCCCAGGTCCCTCCTGCTGGCCGTCCCAGGGCAGCACACCTAGGGCAGAGCGTGGCAGGGAGCTGTTCACCTCATGGCGACCAGGACGGGAGGGGCCGCCGGGGGGCAGCGAGCAGCAGGTCCCGCCACCCCCTCTAGGCAGCCCCGGGACCCAGCTTCCTCCCTCGAACCCACCGCCCACAGCACCAGAGGCTGGGGACCAAGGCCTCACCACGTGGCCTTTGGGCCATCTCAGATCCAAGCCGTCCCGCGAGGAACTCATGTTGGTGCTCAGTGCTGACCACGGGGATGGAAGGCCAGCTGCCGCCCCCGTCCTCTCGGCTGCGCTGCCTGGATTCTGCTGAGCCACAGGGCCCTGTTCCCAGGATCGGCCCTGACGTGTGGCCAGTGACCCTTAGATTTTATTTCCATCAAGCCCGGAACACTGAGATGGGGGCTCAGATAGAAATTGCCCCTTGGCACCCAGGACAGGCCTGTGCGCTGCAGCTCAGCCACCAGGGACCCCTGGCCCTGCAGGGCAGTGAGGTGTCCCTGTGGTCACCGACACCCATCCCGGGAAGCAGCTGGTCTGCCAGAAGCCTGGCCCCAGAACCCGGGGTGTGTAGTGGCTCCCTGGTGGGGACGCTGCGGAGCCCTGGCCTGTTGGCTGCAGGAGCTGTCCCCCTGGCTCCAGGGCTGTCCCCCCAGCCAGGGTGGTCCTGGTGCCTGGTGGTCAGAGCTCTGGGCGGGGTGGTGTGTCGGTCCCACAGGGCGCCCCTCACGCTCCCTTCTCCTCCGCAGGTGCCCCCCCACTTGCTGCGGACCAAGATCATCAAGCCCACCACCTACCACGAGTCCAAGCTGGCGGCTAAGGAGTACCAGGCCGCCAAGGCCCGCCTCTTCACCGCCTTCATCAAGGCAGGGCTGGGCGCCTGGGTGGAGAAGCCCACGGAGCAGGACCAGTTCTCCCTCACGCCCTGACCCGTGGGCCCAGCTCAGGGTGCAGGGCTGTCCGCCCCACACCATCCCCGAACCTCACGTCTGGACTGGGGCAGGCTCACACCTCGGCGAGGGCCCAGGGACACTGTGTCCTGCACCATCTCCAAACCTCACCTCTGAACTCGGGCAGGCACACACCCCGGTGAGGCACGGGCCAGGGACCACTGGCGTCACGCACCCGACCAGGGCAGGTGTGGGGCTGTGGGGTGCCGGGCATCTCACGTCTGCACTGGGACAGGTGCACTCATGTCCCTTCCTGAGTCATCCAGTGACTGCTTCCAACTCCAGTTTACGTTAGAGATCGAGTTCTACTGAGTAGGGCTTCGTGAGTGTAGGAACGGAGACACGGCTGCGTGTGAGATCCTCGAATAAATAATTTATTCAGAGCTAGGAATGTGGTCTATAAAACGAGAAGTGAATATGTCAGGTCACGTGGATGCCACATGATTTTAATCGCAAAACGTGGGGGTGGAGGGGGAGGGTGGGGCCTGGGGTGGATCCCCGAGGGGCACGCAGGCCTCCCTGGTGGGGCCTGGGTGCCCAGTCCTGCAGAATGTGACCCCGGCTGCTCCTCCGCTGCCTCTGAAAGCTTCCGTACTCCTGGGTGGGGTCCTGGGAGCCTTCCCCAGTTCACTCTGGATCATCAAGATGCAGCATGTCCAGCGTCCTTCGCTGGCTGGCCATGTGGGTCTTGGAGCCTTTGTGGACGGAGGGGACCTTGGGCGGCTGTGCGAGAGGCCCTCGCAGGGAGGGAGCCGCGTGCCCAGGTGGACTTGGCCGTTGGCACTTCCGTCCCCCCTCCGGCCTCATCAGAGACACGCCTCCAGCTGACTGGCACCTGGGGGCTGGTGGGCACCAGAGGCCGAGGTTGGGCAGCGCAGGGGCGAGCGCTGCCGGTCCCCGGGGTGCTGCGCGGGGAGCCTCTGGGCAGGAGCAGCCAGGGCCCAGCTGGGCCTGCACTCGGAGGCTGCACGTGCCTTGGGTAGAGGGCAGGAGCCTGTCGGCTCCAGAGGGGCACCACGGGGCCTTGGGGCCACGGCAGTGGCAGGCCCAGACCCGCAATGCCACGCTCAGGCATGAGGCCTGGGTGGCACCGGGCTGTCCACCTTGCTGGTGGTGCCCTGGGAGTAGGGAGCCAGAGAGCGGGGCGTGGCTGCGGTGACCAGGCTGAGAGCCGAGTGCGCTGCCTGGGGAGACGGGCCAGTCTGCAGGGCTCACTGCCCGCGGCTCCAGTCCCCTGGGCTCGCTCCGCCTGGTGGGAGGGCACAGCCAGGGCCAGTGGGCACAGACAGGCCCACCCCAGCCCCCACTGCTGGTCTCAGACCCGCTGCCACGCTGGGCAGTGCTGGGCAGTGCTGGGTCCCCCTTGCCCCGCAGGAGCCAGGGCCTGGGGCCGCGTCCTGGGGCCGTGTCCTCGTCTGCCAGAGGCATCGTCCTCGGGGGACTGGAGGTGAACTTGTCTTTTGTGGTGGGCTTCTGGCCTCGGAGTCCAGCAGGAACATGTCCCACACGCAGTAACACACCGTGGGGCTGGCTTCACGCTGCCCTCCGGGGGCAGTCCTGCCACGGTGGCCCTGGCCGTCCAGCCCTTGATCTGGACCTGCAGGCTCACAGGATCTGACACAATCAGGGACTTGATTTTTTGAGGAAAAAACCTTTGAGTTCTGACATTTGGACAGTGGGGGGCGGGGTCTCTTCTGCTTGTGAGTGACCCCTGGAGTGCTGTGCCCCAGACCCTGTCCCCCGGGAGCTCAGGGACGGCTCTGCCAGGCAGCTGCCTCAGCAGTGGGAGGGCGTGTGGGAGTCTCAGGTGGGCCACATGTTCTGTGTGGATGGCTGCAGTGGTGGGGCAGGGCTGGCCATTGGCCACCCCTGCGAGGCCCCAGGCAGCAGTCTCCAGCCAGGGATGCCAAAGAATCGCAGCTCGACTCAGGTCTTGACGTCCAGCATCCTTTCCTGTCCTGTGACCACACAGTGGCTTCATCTCAGTGTGTGAGCGGCGGCCCCAGCTGGGTCCCCGGGCGTCACACCTGCCAGAGGCCGTCCCTGCAGCCCCGCAGGAGCAGCTCCGGGTGCAGGTGCTGGAGAGCGGCTGCCGGTGGGCTGTGCACGGGTGTGGGCAGTGGTCTCCACTCCTGAGGCACGCACCAGAAGCGCCAGCAGGAGGAGCAAAGTGAGGTCCCTTTCTTGTCCCCAGGTCCAGTCCCTCTGTGTCGGTCCCAGAGTCCGCGTGGCCAGGGCCAAGGACCTGGGTTTGGGGTGCACCTGCGTCTCCCCTGGTGCCCAGGCCCGCGGAGGTGGAGGCTCTGATCGAGGCTGGCGGGCTGCTGGGCCTGTCCGCACTGGCGCTCTGGGGTCCTGTGATGCCGGGAAATGATGTGGTGGCCTCTGGCCTGCCAGGCGGCGGGTCTTGGTGGCGTGGGCCCGGCCTGCTGGACGTGAGTGTGCTGGTGAGGTGACCCCTGGCCCCACAGGCACCTGCTCCGCTGCTTGCCGTTGGAGGAGGGGCGCCGCGGCCTGGTCCCCACAAACCGGTGGCTGAGGCTCGGACGCCGTGGGAGTGTGCTCCAGCAGGAGCTGTGGCCAGGGTGTGGCCCTCGTGTCCTCTGTGTGTGTCCTGTGTATGCCACACGTCCCCTGCATGAGCTTCCTCCCTCTGAGGCCGGCCGAGCTGAGCATGAGGCGCTGTCCCACAGACAGAGGGTCTGAGATGTTCTCAATAAAACGCGCTGTTTCCACAGACGGTGTGCTGGACTGTGCCTCTCCACCCTCCGGGCAGCAGCCCCAGGTGGCCTCGGCCTCCACTCCACATGCAAGGGGGCCCCTCCTGGACCCCGCAGGGAGGGCCAAAAACCCTGGGGTGGGTGACGGCAGTGTGGCCAGTGGACGGGGAGAGCCTTGGCCCTCGACAGGATGACCGCAGGATCCCAGGGGCCGCTCACTCCCGGACCACGAGGAAGCCGAGGTGGCCCAGTGCCCAGCTGTGTCTCAGGCGGCAGTCCCCAGAGGACCTTGGTAATGACCTCAGTGGGAAATGGCTGCAAAGCCGCGTCCATAGAGAGCCCCTGGTCTCAACATCACCCTGACCTCCCCTGGGAGCCTCCAGGGGGACGGAGTCTGGTGGTCTGGGCGCTGGCAGGGGTCTTCCGCTGGCTGACATTCCCGTGGCTAACGGGGAGGGCGGGAGGAGGCTGCACCCAGTGGCTGCAGCCCACAGCCCAGAGCCGCCCGCTGTGCAGATGGGGACTGAGGTGGGGGGAGACCCACGGCCCCCAGCTGTCCAGGGGAGGCCTGGGGGCCAGTGCAGCCCTGGGCCCTCTGCCCTCTAGCACGCCCTCTCCCAGGGTCAGCACTCACTGGGGTGCGGCTCTGGGTCCCTCTTCACACTCAGTTCTCACGTTTTCTGGGAAGAACCGGAAACTCACCAAACGTGAGCCTGGTGCCCGGAGCTGCTGGACGGCTCCTGGCTCACACCCTTCCTCCCCGGGCACCAGGGCCACTCGGCTCTGACACTCGACAGAGCTAATGAAGGAAGGGCTGGGCCAGCCGTGGGCTCAGGGCAGACCCTCACCTTCCAGGCAGGAGGCCCGGGTCCCCTCCCCAGCGTCCCCAGAGGAGTGCCCAGGTCCCAGCCCCAGTGTCCCCAGAGGTGGCCCAGGTCCCCTCCCCAGCATCCCCAGAGGTGGCCCGGGTCCCCTCAAAAGCGTCCCCAGAGGTGTCCCAGGTCCATCCCCAGTGTCCCCAGAGGAGTGCCCAGGTCCCATCCCTAGTGTCCCCAGAGGAGTTCCGGGTCCCCTCCCCAGCGTCCCCAGAGGAGTGCCCAGGTCCCAACCCCAGTGTCCCCAGAGGAGTTCCCGGGTCCC